CATCGTCAACCATTTCAGTAACAATTTTTATAGCATCACGCAAAACATTCAATTTTTCTTTTGTAGTTAGGGTTGGTTCTAAGATTTCTTCCTCTTCTTCTTGCTCTATTTTTATGACACCTTGAATGAAGTTTTTATCAGTGAATTGCTGATATACCTCTTGTTCATCTTTAGGATTTAACCAGTTTTTGATCAATATTGGAGTACAAATACATAGTGCATCAATTTGCTGTTAAAGTTCTTCATCTAGTTCTTCATCTAGCTCTTCATTTGGGTTTTCAAGATTATTAGTAACAGAAGGAGTAGAAATAGGCATTCCAGCTTCATCGCGTAGTGATACAATTTTTATATAAGACCAACAATGCTTAATTGTTTCAGTAGACACCTCATTTCAGACAATTTTTGCCCATCTCATGCCTGGTGTTATGAATCAGAAAAAAATATAAGCAGTTAAGTGGTTGATTTTTTTAAAAAAATCAATTACTATTAACTAATCGATTAATCAATTAGTTGGTTGATTTTTTTAAAAAAAATTAATTATGATTATTGCAGTTTGCAAAATTATGTAAAATTTAAAGATTATTAAAAAAAAAAGTAATCACTGATTTCCGATTTCTTCAACATTTTTTTAACTTTTAGACTAGACAAAATTTGCGCATTTATCATTTGTAAAAATTTGATTAGATATTTTAATGCGCAGCTCCTATTTCTGCAAACATATTACAGAATGATGAATATGAAACTTTTATTTCTATAAAAATAATAAAATTTTTACAAAATAATAAATACGCAAAATTTTATCTAATATAAAAGTCAAAAAATATTGAAGAAATTGGAAATCAGTAATTAGAAATCAGTAATTACTTTTTTTTTAATGATCTTCAAATTTCATATAATATTGCAAACTACAATTACTAATCGATTAGTCAATAAGTTAATAGTAATTGATTAGTTGATAAATTAATTTATTAATCTAATATTTATTGTAATTTGCAAAATTTTGTAAATTTTGCAGATCAAGAAAAAAGAAATCGCACGATTTTTAGATAATTTCTAAGTGATTTTTTATTTCTTAAAACAATTCGATATAACAATTTCATACCTAGATATCAGAGTTGTTTTAAGAAATCAAAGATCACCTAAAAATCACCGAAAAATCATATGATTTCTTTTTTTCTCGATCTGCAAAATTTACAAAATTTTGCAAACTGCAAGAATTATTTAACAAGATCAATTAATTGATTAGTTGATAAATTAATTAATAGTTGGCTTAAATTTTTAATTAATCAGTTGCCAACTTAGCCAACTAAATGATTAATCGATTTATGACTCATATCACTACCTATGCCTTGCAATTAATCAACTTTATAAATATCTCTTTCACTAGCTTCATCTAAATCAATTGCGTGCTGAAGTTGTAGACAACAATAATAGAGCTTGAATAATACGATGATACCAGTGTCCATAGGTTGTATCTTTGACATTGTGTTGGATGGTAAAAAAAAAAACTTCTATGTTAGAAAAAGAGAGATTTGCAAACAACATGTGTAGGGCCTGGTCAAAGACAAGAAAAATATGTTAGTTTGATTCTTCTATTTGCTTATCTAATTTTTTTATCCACTCCTGAAAATATACAGCTGTCATCTATGCTTTTTTATTATTGCAGTAGTAGAATTCTAACTCTTTACCAGTTTTTTTTAAAATATCTTGGTTTTTTTGAATATCTGATAAAAAAAGGTTGAAGCTTATGGGTACCGTCAGCATTAGCTATAAGTATAATAGTAATTCTTATTTTGTTTTTTTTTAAACCTTCAATTTGACAGGATGCAATTGTACAGTCAGGGGCTATAGAGTAAAACAAGCCCGTCTTATCCATGTTGTAAATATCATGTAGGGGATATCAATCGGTAGTACAAAAAATTATTGGAAAACTTAAGTTAATGGCTTCAACATCCACAGAACCACTTTCTCTATATAATTTAATTTTATGAAAATTGTGTTTTTCCTACAGTAAATAGTATTATAAATTAGAACAAAAATTGATTAGCAGGTTAATTATTTTTTAAATAATTGATTACAATTGATTAATTGATTAGTTGAATTAGTCAATTATGGCAGTTTTCAAAATTTTGTGAATTTGCAAATCATTATTACAATTTGCAAAATTCTGGATCCTATTGATTGTTTGAGCGATAATCATTACTTCACGATTGTGATTGCGATTGTGATAAAAATAAGCATTTCTACTGCAACAAATGATCTTTGAGATTGAGTTCTGATTAATTATTTTCAGAATTCAACCTCAAAGGTCTTTTATTGCAATAGAAATACTTATTTTTGTCACAATCGCAATTACAATCATGGAGTGATGATTATTGTTCAAACGATCAATAGGATTCGGAATTTTGCAATTTGTAAATTGCAAAAAAAAAAAAAAAAAAAATGCTCGATTGTTAAAATCGAGTGATTTTTTTTTTTTTATAATTTACAAAATTTTGCAAACTGCAATAATTGATTAATCAATTAGTTGAACAATCAATTAGTTGCCAACTTGACCAACTAAATGATTATTGCGGTTTGCAAAATTATATGAAATTTGAAGATC